GCGTTTTGGGTTTATTTTTTTTTATTTATCAGGGTTGTTAGTAGAGCAAGTGGGTGACTCTACTAACAACTCAAAAGAGCCGTGATAGCTCAGTGTCCAGGCGTTCGCCTTTAATTCAATATACTCGAGCAACCTGAGTTCGATCCCCGGTGCCGGCACCAATGAAATTTTTAACTTTAAGTGCTGACTTATCACGTACTCCGTGGTGAAGGAAAGCATCGTGAGGAAACCTGCATATTTTGAAATAATATTAAAAAAAATATATTTCGAAGATATGTGAAGTCCGCCAATCCGCAGTGGGGCCGCGCGGTGGACTATGCCCTGGTACCCTCTGCATAGAGGAGGCCTTTGCCCAGCAGTGGGACATGGATAGGCTGTTGCTTTACTTTACTTTTTAGTAGAGCAAGTGGTTCACCTTAGGTCATTGAAAATTGCGGCCTATAAACGCTTATAAAGCCGAAGATATCCCAGGTACACGACCTGAGTGGTTGGCAACACAGCCAAGATGTGGTTCCTGGTTCCTCCTTTTAAGTAATATCTCAATCCGGTCAATGGCCTCATTGACCAATGAGGTCATTGACCGGGTGAAATGCGAAATTATAAATATTTTTACTTCATACAGATAGAAACTGGAGCTACTAATCGCTTTTGGGTAAATTTATAGGGCTTTTTGCCTAGTGTCCATTTTTTTATGTTTAAATATAGGCCAGTAAGTAGGTAGTTTCTTTTCTACCTTAAATACGTCAAACTTGCAAATTCAAGCCAGTTTGACGTCATTCAGGTATTGTACTTAGAATCATCGTTAAATATCTATATAATCTTTCAGCGCTGCGAGAAATGCAATGAAGAATTGTCGAGATTTCCGCAGCGAAAGGTCGGCCGCTAGTTGGTGAGGCGTTTTCCAGGCTCAGATAAGGAAAACGCAGGTTAAATACTAAACGACAAAAACCATCGCGACCACGTACAAACTTCTGAAATTCCATCCACTCAGTTCATTGAAAAGCAGGTGTTCGTGGGCGGCGGTGATCACTTACCATCAGGTGAGCCTCCTGCTCGTTTGCCCCTTTTCTCCATAAAAAAAAAAAAAAAAAAAAGCAAACAATTAAACTGCGTCGATTTTACAAGTAACATTTAGCCTTAATGGATCCGATCAATTTAAAGGAGCACTTTAATCCCTTCGCCTCGTGGATTTTTAATGACCCGGAAATGATCGCGGCACTGGACTTGAAAATATTCCTGGTATGTTGGATCCCATGGCATTTTCTTGGACGAGGACGCCTCCTTTCGGATTCGCATCATTGTTTCCATAAATCAAGGACATACCAATTTCCGCATTCATCACCCTAGATATTATTTTTTTATTTCGTATATAGCCCTTAATACATTTACGTATAAACAACAGATAATGGCTGACGAAAGGAAATGTCATCTACAACGCTTGGCCGATAATAAATATTTTAATTATACATGTCCTGGTTGCTGGCCGGGGAGCGAATTCTAAATTATATAAACGAGCCATCGATGATGTATATTATAGTTCTTTGTAACTTGGAATAGAATAAATTTCCGCAAATAGCTTTTTAGCATTCTTTGGCCAAAATTGTTAAGAAGGGACAATTTGGTATACGAGAATGTTTTAAGGTAATAGAAATACGAAATATGGGAATTACCACAACCTCACAGAAGACTGGCGTAAAGTTGAAGTGTTTATACTTCTGCGTTTCGTTTGGTGAGTGAGATAGCCTGGGCCCACTTTATTAAGAGGTATTGCAAATGTCCATGGGCGGCGGTTATCACTTTCTCAAAAAAAAAAAGGTAGCATTATTCAACGTTTTAATTTTTATAATGAAGTTTTGTTTGTTTATTTTAGCTTATACAGTTTAAATTTGTTAGTTAGAAAATACTTATATATTGCACAGGAGCTTTTGTAAAAAGTATGGATTTCGCTTTTTTAATTAGAATAAAACATTAAAATATGTAGAAATCTTAAGTGCAAAGATTAGCACTATAAACAATTTAAATTTTTTCAGAATAAAACATTGACTATGTTTAGTTACATTATTCATATGTACATTTTACAGTAAATTAACATAATAAAATAAAACTTTATAGAAAAGTGTTACGATAAAAATTAAAAATCATAATTATATTAACAATGTTTTATTGAAAATATAAGTTTTCCTAAATTTAATGTTATATTGTAAATAAACATCTTTCATTATGTCCTCAAAAGACGGTTCAAAGCATCATGACCTTAAATTGTATTGCAAAAAAGTCTGCACCATCACTTTTAGAATATTGTTAATGCATATAGTCCGTGCGGTTTATGTTATGTGGCTTCATATATTTTAAACAATGAACATAATAAATCTAAATATAGCTAAACCTTGCCATGTGGTTTGTAGTTTCATAGTCATAAGATCCGCCTGCTTAATTTCAACGTCTATCTATTTTTAATAAAATGCAATTTTTATAGATATTTATTAGTGATAGGTAAATACGCTGCCAGGTTGCCAATAAAAATATGGCTGCAAGTATATATTTCATTTAAATTTTTATCAATTAATTTCATTAAAAACAATATTTCTCTTATATCCAACATGAATTATAATTTCCAACATGAATAATAATTAATAAAGAAAAAATATATGTAATGGACTTAAAAAAATTTGGTTTTCCATTTCTGATTCGGCTGCAACCTCTTGGCAACTAGGGGTGAACACGTACAAATCCATTAAATTTATACGTTCATAACGTATCTTAATAGATTATAAACTAAACAATGCCAACATTGCGTATGAAAAATTGCCAAGCGAGCAGGCGGTTCACCTGATGCTAAGAGAACTTACGTTGGTAGGGCCACGCAGCAGCCTCGGCCGTTGCACGAATGGGCAGGCCCGTCCGGGTAAGTACCACGACCTCACAGAAGACCAGCGTAAAGTGGAAGTATGACAAATACTTTCGCGTTTCATCTGGTGAGTGAGGTAGCCGGAGCCCAATTTTCAAATTTGTATTCACTTACCATCAGGTGAACCGTCTGCTCGTTTGGCAACGATTCGCATATAAAAGAGAATACCTACGCCCATGGACATCTGCTTCACCCGAGGGTCCCAGATGCGTTGACAACCTTTTGAAAATTAGGCTCCGTAAGTGTGTCGCATATACATCGTTTTAAAATAATATATATACATACCATCTATAAATAAGCTCAGTATCTGAAATCGGAGGTTGTCAGGAAGTGTTTACCAAAAGATGAAATTGAATAAAAAGCCTTTTAGTTACGCCTTTTCATGATTAGCATATCAATGCGGCTGCCATTGTATGCTGATTCTGATCTCCGTCTTAAATACATACACGCCTAGTTCATATACAATATGAACGCAAAAGGAGTACTCGCTCCATGTAGAAAAAAATTAGGAATTCCACAATCGGATTTTGAGTTTGATCCCGTAAAACAACACTATCTCGCATCCGTAACAGTATGTGCGAAAGGTTGTATAATCACGTGCTGTTGATATTACGAAGTTATACCGTTTTAAATCCCATAATACCGTCTTGTATTCTTCCATGCCTCGTTTCTGCACAGGTAAAAAAACACTGTGTTGAATTTTTTGTAGTTTAATAAAGCGTATGTTAATAATATACTATATTTAGATAAAACACATTTTGCCTGATGTAATTCTTAAACCTAATTTACAATGACGCAGAATTACGTAAATATAAGAAATTAAAATTCGGTTTGATTGAAAATTGTTTAAACATTCGAAATGAAATAAAATAAAATTTTGTTACAAAAAATGCTAACAGAATATTGTACGGTTGTTCGTTTAAGTCGAAAAACCCGCGCTCCTATTTCAATCAAATGATTAATTGCATCGTGAGGAAACATTGATTATAATACGAGTTTGTAGCCTGCCAATCCACAGTGAGATCGCGTGATGGGCTGTGCCCTAACATCCACTCTCAAGAGGCCAACAAGCAGCATTGGAATATAAATATCGGGCATATATGATCCAATGCTACTTTAGTTTATGTTATTGCTCATTTAATACAGAAAAAAATGCCGATGATAGGTTCATAAATTGTACCTTGTAATTAATTACTATGCTTACATTGGTTAAATGAAAGTTTTCTAATCAATTTACCTTTTTTTACCTTCCCTATATACAACAGAAATTGAAGCAAAGTTTAACATTTAGTTGTAAAATACGAGTATAATGTCTCAGTACGAAAAGCTACTTATGTTGTCAGTGTGTATCTAATATTGTTCGCTTGTGGACCCACACCCCAAAAGTAGTAAAACGTAATATGTTCTTGGAACATACTATTTATTTTGAATATTATCCATTTCCATTATAAAACCAAACAAGAAGCCTTGCAAAGAAAAAATTCAATTATCCGGATACAGGTGAAATCTTCCTTTATGGACACAAACTGTCACTTGCCTTAACCGTCAAGTAAAAGTTACCATTAATAGTCAGTGTAAATAAGGTTTTTATTTGCTTTAACTGCAACTACGATAATATTTAACAAGTAGAATTATTTTGTACGTATTAAATGTTTGGGGTAATTATTTGCGTCTCAATAACAATTCATAATGCATTGAATGCTTATTTAAAAAAAAAGTGTTATTATTAAAGATAAAAATTTTCAGTAAATTCCCGACCTAGTAGTCGATTCAGTACGCCAATCTCACACCAGAGTGTGTAAGTTCTATAACCACTTCGAAAAATATTATGTAAACATAGTGTTTTCCTAATGTGTGTTTAAACATCTATATATTTCCAAAGTCAAGTACATTAAATTTTGTTTATTAGTAACCTAGTGAGCCCACAACTACTTTGTTTCACAGTATAAGTAATGTCAAGTATTTATATTAAACTCTTCTCTGATACATTTATGTGAAGCCTTTTTAATTGCATACCTTTCAGATCATAAGTTGAGGAACAGAATATGAATTTAAATTTAAATGGTAAATATAAAATAAGTACTCAATTTCAAACAACAACTAACGGCTTGATGCCGATCTTCTTTGCCATTTGACCATACGAGTCTATTTGCCCTTGGGGGTATGTGACGGTTCCTTTTTCTAATGTCGCACGTCTGTTATCGCGCTCCTTGTCGCCAGGCGCTAGAACAGGCATCGAGGGGTCAACCTGTAAAGACAATTATGAAAATACAAATTCATTTGAATAATACAATTATTAGTACAATTTTTTGTATGTGAGAAGGTGGCATCCGAGCAGGCCGTTCACCTGATGTTAAATAATAACCGCCGCCCATTGACATTTGCGACATCCGTAGGACTGCAGATGCTCTGCCATGAAAGTGGCAATAAAGTGGGCGCCAGCTACGTCACTCACCAGACGAATCGCAGAAGTATAACAATTCCACTTCACGCCAGTCTTCTGCGAGGTCGTGCTACTTACCCGAAAGTACCCGCCCATTCGTGCAACAGCGAAGACTATTGCGTGGCCGTATCAGAGTTAAGGAAACCTATTATATTATATTCGGATTTAGTTATGATTCTAATGGGCCGTGATAGGTCACTATTCGGGCCTTCGCATTTAATTTAAGTTACTGTGGTAGAGCCACGCAGCAGCCTCGGCTGTCGCACAAATGGACTGGCTCGTCCGGGTAAGTACCACGACCTCACAGAAGACCGGCGTCAAGTGGAAGTATAATATTTTCACGTTTCGTCTGGTGAGTGAGGTGGCCGGAGCCCAATTTTTAAAAGCTTGTCAACGCATCTGCAACCATCGGCTGTTGCAGATGTCCATGGGCGGCGGTATTCACTTAACATCAGGTGAACCGCCTGTTCGTTTGGCAACTTTACGCATAAAAAAATAATTTAATATACTCGAGCAACCTGAGTTCGATCCCCGGTGTCGGCACCAATAAAATTGTTAATTGACTGTCGACTTATCAGGTGCTCAGCGGGAAGGAAAACATCGTGAGGAAACCTGAACCAATACCGCATCAGTTCACGATATTGTAAGCTTATCAGAGTCGATAATAAATCAATATTGAATGTCATAAAACCCGTAGTACCAGTTTATTTAACAATCGGTAAAGATAACTTTCAATAGAATGCAATCCGAACAAGTCGGAACTTTTCAATAGAATGTCGGTTCATAGTGTTCCGCCTTGAAAAACTTCACTGACAACGCGGTCGATTTCCGCTTAGGCTACAATAAACTGAAGTTCCAATTATATTTAATTATTAAACGTGTATATTCCGTCTAATGAGACAGAATTGTTAAATGTTAGTTTAATGCTGTGAGAATCGCCCTAGAAAGTTATGAAATGTGTGACAGCCATTGTTAAATGAATTAACTGTTTCAAAAGTATTATTAGGACATCATCGAATGGTAATTCAAGCATAAAAATAATTATTTTTACGAATGCAATAAAATATGAACATGTTTGTTGGTTTTCAAAGTAATGAGCATTCTTTTTAACCCAGAATTTACACGGTTTCTTGCGATAAATTTGTACAGAATATAGAATAAAAATGAGGCCCTGTTTCATGTATTACTAGTTTTATATTGCACTCTCAAGACTGAACTTTATTTATATTCCGGTTACTTTCGGTCTGAAATGGCACTAATGACAAAAGAAGTACTTTGTGTAATTATAGACATAGCTAATTAATGATTTAAATCAACAAAGATCAAAGGGCAGGTGTTAAATTACATTTTGATGCAATTAAGAGAATAAAAATAACGACGCATTTTAAGAAATAATTATGTGATTTAAGTTCCCTTTTTAAATAAAATTTGTAAAACCATGACCATCTGGATGTCTAACTCACGGGTTCTAAGTTCCTCCAATGCGCAAGACAATCGGCGACCCGTTCAGCGAAGCCGGGGGCAAAGCATTCGGGGTCGATGGCCACGAAGCACTGGCCTAAGTTTGGCGGGACTTCTTGGTCAAAGGTCCAGGCTGGCACTTTGTGGACTGGATTTGAACCTGAATTGGAATATAAATATTTGTAAAAATGCGGGATCGTAACGGGTCTCATAACTCAAACGGGTCTGACGGGATTCATCCGTAAAATATGCTGCCCATTAAATAAGTAGTAGTAATAGTGTTTTGCTATCTTACTTAATGTTATTTATTCTGAGGCTGAGTTTAAATGATCAAAATAACTTCATAAAGTTATGTGCGTTAAACTCTTATATATGATATAGTAACAATATTCAATTTAGAAAGACTTCCACCAGGTCTTTAAAGATTATATTATATTATATTTATAAAAATAAGCCTTACCAGAAAGTCCACTGCAGAATATTTCGACCATAGCGCTGAGGCAGTAACCTTTATAGCCACTTGTGTTTTCAAACCCACCGAGTGGAAGAAGCTTGGCAGTGTTAAACGCCTGTAATAAGTGACGATGTTCAACATAAAATTCTTACTATTAAATATGTACAGTACTCAAATTTACTCGGTTCTAATTAATTGCTATTAGGTTTTTCAAGGCGTTTAATTTTAATAAGATTTTTTTGCAAGGACGGAAACTACATGGTTTAAGTTAATTAAATTTTTTATACTATATCATTAACAAAAACGTTAATAAGAGTATTATAATGACTAAAATAATTTAAATATTTTTTTTCATTTAATAGTCATTTGCTTACAAATTTGGATTAAAACTGTAGATTTATTATTACTCTCAGTGCTACTTACAGAATTGATGAAATCATTTTATATTTCAATTTATTGTTATAATATATACATATTTTGTATGATAATCAACCTCAAAGCATAATTTTGAACGGTGTCAGCAGTCAGAACATAAATTGTAAATACTTAACATACTGATTTCATTCATGAGGAAAACTTCTGCATTAAAATCAAATACATTCCCGTTATAATTATTGCTACTTTAATATTTATCTCTGAATAACAACATAAATATTTCAATAAAGGGGATTTAGTAGCATCGTTGTGAGTGTAATACCAACTTATTAGATACTGAGTGCTTTACGTTCAATCTCTCAGTTTATCACGCTCTCAGCGGTTAAGGAATACATTATGAGGAAACCTGCATATTTTGGAAATAATAAGAAAAAGAAACGAATATATGTGAAGTCAGCCAATCCGCAGTACATATTTTGACTAAAATTGGCCGTTATTCATTAAATTATTTGTATAATATGTTACTTTAAATATATATCTTATATTTTTTATTTATAGTTAATTATTATTTTTCTCAGATCATGCAGCTAATACGTAATTTTAAAATCTCTGGCGACCATCTTTTTAACTTCTACTCTGTGCCACTGACAGTGACTTGACAACGAATTATCATTAATCACGTGTTCGACAGTGTGAATTGTGTGTGTGTATCTGTACTTCATTTCCATATAAACATTTAAGTCGCACTCTTCCGTGTACGCATTAATCTTAGGAAGGGATCCATAACTTATGCTGTTATTCATTCAGCGAGATAATACAGCTTACGATATTGACACTACGACACGTAGGTTTATTAGATAACAGATAATTTATTTAGTATTTATGAACATTAACTATTTTTTGTTGTAAATAAACGTATTTAATTACCAATTGAGAGTCTGTGGTAGTACGACCATCGGGCCCTAGAGCCCATCCCTCGGGTATTGGAGCTTTCTTGTGTATCTGCACCTCTATCTGAAATTGAAAAATGTTAGGTAAACCAAGTGCTTGTTTTTTTTTTTTTTTTGATTTCTTACTTCCGAAAACCACAATTCATATTTGGCATCATGTACCAGAAAAAACTTAATCAGTATCTAAGTACCTAAACTCATTTCCTCAATAAATGATATTTTAGAGAAAGAGAAGAAATTAAAAAAGTAGCAGGTATCAAAAACAGTTCATTTTGTAGATTAATTTGATTCAACTCCGAGGTTGCTCTCTTGATAATGTTTTAAAATCGCAATGTTTTAAAAGGTGCGAGTAAATTGCCATGACGTATTTATCGTCAGATATGCTAGCAGTAAAAAAATCTGGCCAGTTCGTGGCAGAAAAGTTTACCTTGCCCATGGCAGCTGTTGTCGTTGCCATATCGACCACCATCGAATCGCCACCTATTGCCGGTGCCGCCATCGATATTGGGTTTGTGCCACAAGCGCTCTGAAATAACATACATAGTGAACTATTATTTCTAACATTAACATCATGATTTCTTATATGGATGCAAACACTACACAAGAATATGACTCTTTTCGTCGTGTTTTATCTATTATGAACGTTAAAATCTACTAATACTTTGACCAACACAGAATCGTTTCGGATTTGTGTGTTTGTGTTTGGGTGTGAGATAATGTAAAATGTTTGTAACATGATGATGTTATCTTACATTTATGGGGCATATTTTTGTAGGGAAGACTACAATAATTGATCTTTCTCAGTCACAGAGGTCGTGGGGAATTACAAACCAATCCCTTCCATACAAAATATAATAAAAGATGATTCTATATCCTGTAATACTATCGTGCAGTTGTCAACGTAACATGACAACTGCAAGATGTGTATTATATCATGATTAATTTAATATAATTAATGAGTTTTAAAATATAAATCTGTTGCTAGATCTTGTTTTATTGCTCTTCATATTACTCGTTAAGCCAGCTCGCTTGCCACCTTCTTATATAATAATAGAATAAAAAAATGTTTTCTAGTGTTTCCATGTTTTTAACGTTTGTTTGTCAATTTCTTGTACACGACGATTGGTATTAAATAACTTCAAAGAATACGTCCAATTTCAGAGCTTGAGCCACATCGCTTTTATTGTTGTATCGATAGATCGCCTTGAATTGACACCACAGAACACCAGCGTAGACTAGAAGCTCAGCCTCTGGTTGTGGTAACGTAACTGCTACCCGCTAGTTTGTCAACTCCACACATAAAAGCCACTAACCTGTTTCGATCTCGTTGGCGCCATAACGGGGGCAGAGTTCGTGAATGCCATACCGATCATGCCCTCCCGTTCCGCCTTCTTGGCCCAATATCCCGCCATACCGAAGTGATTTGTTCCTGTATGTATAAAGGTATATTAGGTAAAGATGTAAACACGAGGAAAGAAGTAATACTTCCAGTTAACGCCGGTCTCTGTTAGGCCATGGTTCTTTCCAGGACGAGCCTGCCCATTCGTGAAACAGCAGTAGCCGCTGCGTGGCCCAAACAAAGTGAAACCTCATGTCGTTATTGTTTTTCGCTGAATAATTTGCCTTCATTTCTTTTTATATTTCGCTAATGCGATGAAATTATTTGTCTTAGAACTTACGAATTATTTTTTTTTTAACTTCTTACGAAGAATATCCAACACACACATTTATTTCTCACATTTATTTCTAGATTACACTATCACTATGTTGGTTTAGATACGCAAGAGTTTGTTAATTTATCATCTTCATATTTCCCACGAAGACTACAATGTTTGGTGCATGAAAAAACTGCCTTGACTTAAACCCCTAAAAATCTAAACCCTTAAAAAACTTTTCCTTATCTGGTTTAGTATTTGTTTTAACTGTTCAATTGACATAATATAAATCTTTCCAATCTTTTTAAAACACATTCCCTACTTTTCGTGGACGCGTTTTACCTTTCCAAAAAATTTTCAAGCTTTCAGCTTTCCAAAGCACACCTGACTTTGACTGCTAACCAATGTGCGTTTCGTTTTAATTATAGAATTGGATTTATTTGAAAGTCGGAGCGATATAACAAGAAGAATAGGACAAAAATTACGTTTAGCTGACACCCAACCAATGCCGGTCTCCTTGGCCTTTCTGATCGCCAGGTCCATGCAGAAGTTGCCGGCGGTGGCGCCCAGCGTGTCCATTCCGTCGACCCAGGCGGTGGCAACTGTCTCCTTCAGGACAACCGGTTTTAGGTCCGGCTTCGTCACGCCTCCCCTCATGTCGTTCACATACAGCTCTATAAAGACCAATAATGTCAACACATTTTTTGTGACAAAAACAAAACCGTCTTCAAATGCCTGACCCGATTCTATTTCTATTCGATTTTGAGGAGTTCCCTGATGTGTCCCTTGAATCCAAGGTCCAATAAAAATTATATCAATATAGAACCACATGGAACCTTAACTGAACCCAAAGCAAAAAACAATTTTTAAAATTTCCGGTTCTTAAATGACAGAGTTCCGAGGTAAAATCTAAAAAAAATGCAACGGAATGGAGAATTCGGTTGAAAAAAATACATGCAGTTCTTTTTTCAATCTCTTTTTGAATGAATGTAAATACATTTTTTTCGTTTTATTTATCCGGCTATCTCAGAGTTGGGCTTTTAAATGGGCCTCTAAACTTACAAAAAGTTATTTCTTGTATAGTCAATTTTCAACTTCAATAAAACGAATTGGTCCCGAAACGACGTCAACTGTATATTAAAGAAATAAGTAAACGTTATCAAACTAACCTAGTCTGTTAAGGCCATGGCTGAAGTGACCCACGGTATCTGCGTAGAGGAGTAGGTCGGCTTGAGCCTCGGCCTCCACTTCTGGGGCTCCAGCCACCACGAGGCTCTCCACCATAAACCTGCGCACCTCCTCAATCTGCACCTCCGGCATGTTTTCGTCTAATGAAGCACGAGACGACAAGATTTGGCCTTTTTATTTATAGCAAATCAATTTCCCCGTTGCGCTTTGTGAACTACAATTTTTTCTAACGCCAAACGATTAGATTACTGGATCTAGCCATTTAAAGTTACAATATAAACGATATAATTATTGGTGTAAAATGTGTATTATTTAATGTGTATTATTATTTAATGTGTATTATTATTTAATGTGAATTATTGTAACAAAATGTTTCTAAATCATAATAGTGTTAAGCAATTACACCTAGAAAGAGATAACAAATGCATAAACAATAACACTAAAGTTTTTAATAGTTAATTATACGTATGTAATACAATGTATTATGTTATCTATTTTAATTAGCCTCAAAAATTGTTTACTAAGAAATTAGTGTTTAAATATCATGAGAAATCTATATAAATGATTTCACGCAATGAAATTATAATCGTTGATACTGTAAATCAAATTGAAAGGGAACAAAGAAGCAATTATTGGGGACAAAAAAAGTTTTCTTGTTTTTACTCACTTCTGTTTCTCTTTTCCTGTAACGTTTCGGCGTAATTAAATTGAATCGGTTGGCTGGTTTTGAGAATTAAAAAATCAAGGAAACGCAAAACTAATACTATCAGTTCAACGGTTTTACTAGTAATGCGACTGTAGTCGAAGTTATCAAACGTGATAATGTTAATCAGCGAATAACAAAATGGGCATTATTTCCATGATGAACTTATAAATAAGATATAAATATTCGATTCTTCCAAGTGGAGATTCATTGTTAAGATTTACGGGAAAGTTATGTGTTTTTGAGTTAAGATTACGTAAGTTATTTAGAATTTTAACAAAAAGCATTAAAAAATCATGCACATTATAAGATTTTTAAATTATTGTTTTATCACTGATTATATTATCGTGAAAAATCGAAATGTGTTCATAGATTTGTTCTGCCAAGTTTATTGACTGGCAAATTACTGTCTTAATCAAAATTACTGCCTTTATCAAAACTTTCGTGTGCCGTTTCTTTATTGATTTCACAGCAGAATTCAGCTAGGATTGCCGGGAACTATAATATCTCATTATACCTTTACTCCATATTGGTAATATCTTGATGGAATCTTTCTTAAAGGTATTGCTGTATTGCAAATCTCAAACATAACTCTATCTCAGGCAAACAGCCTTTGTCTCTTTCATTTATATCAGCACCAAAATAATTCGAGTAATGCTTAAAGTCAGCGTCTTTCGGGTAGCGCGTATCTTAAGCCCAAAAAAATTAAAAATTGTTTCTCTCCGTTGGAAACAAACCTAGTGTGTATGCTAATCCCTTAATTTTTTTTCCTAAACAGGTATTTTATTTATTTATATCTGTCATTAGCAATATTAAATCATGGTGCCAAGAAAACTAGCTGCATTTTCTCGCTGAATAGTTATGCATAACCTTCTTGCGAGAAAAGAACCAGCTTTCTTGTCACCAGCAGCGGCGTTAAGCCTAGGATGTAAACCTTTAAAAAATTTTGATGTACTGGGACCCCACGGGCCCAAAGTTTCATCAGCAAATGGCACAAATACATAATCTGAACAAAGAGACTCATATTTGCGCCACTTACTTCAGCTGCCTCCGATGCCGCCCCGTGACCGAAGTACCCCTTAAATGAAAAGAAGCCTAAGTGTCTACCCAAGTAGCATCCCAAACGAGGGATTTGCCTCTCTCCCAAGAGAAAAGCGTGAAGCCAGTATAACTCGATCCTTTAGATGAGACACATAGAACACGGGCACGCTGTAAATTACTATCTAAAGATCAAAACATGGTATTCTGTACTCTCTACACCAAAGAAACATTCCACTGTTTTTGTTGGTGTACTCACTTCCAGTGGAATATTTTCGTTGGAGCAGATAGACAGCAAAGACGTCCTTCCCTCCTCGGCATAGGAAAGTTCAGAAATGTGATTTAGGATATCATTACTATTATTAGCCCTTAAATTTAAAAGGAAAAAAAACGTTCGATTAAGACTTTATGATCCATTTAGGAAAACGAAATATAATAAAATGTACACGGAAAACTGGAAAGACTCGATATTAAATATGAATAATAATTAAATGATTACTCTTCGAGACTTGTTTAAATGCAATTGTGGTTTGATAATACACGAATATGTGATAAACGTTATGTACTCTTGACATTCCAGTTGGTTTACACTTATTTGTACGTAACAGTGTTATCTCTGGGTTTAAACACAATTTTATCATTGTTTTACCGTTACATTTAACGGTTCATAGCTATAAAAATATAAGTCTCGATTTAAACAATCCTAAGTGCGAAATGTTCTTTCTAGAAATGATTTCTTTTCCAATAAAATTATTTTTACTCAAAATTTTAACTAGACAGACATTACAACTCCGTACTGATTCAATTTACCTCGTAGGTGATTCTTTAGTCATACCAAGTATGGAACCTCTTAATTAAAGTTAAATAAATTTCTAGACCATGTATACAAATTGTTCTTACTAAATCCGCATATTACGCTTACTGTTTTGCGACATTGTATTTTTGTACCTAAATTCAAGAAAAGAATACGTAATATTCTCCTGTCCAGTTTAGAAATGCGTTGTGAAAGAAATTGATTTTCATATTAAAACAGCTATAGAAAATATATGTTTGAATCACGTTAGTTAGATAGTCGTTTAAAACTTGCTCATTTTCTAGGCGTTTCATCTAAAACATAATATTTAAGTACGCAAGTAAGTTAGGCACATTAGTTATAAGTTTCTAGTTTGTGTACTAATCATTCGGCTTCTTTAGAATCATCCGAGGCAATGAATTTGTTATTGGGTATAACTCAAGTGGCATGACATCACTTAGTTCTACTTTCATGTTGGTCACTCCGCAACTGCTAGAAGGCAGTGTGCGAACGCTCGAGATCTTGCAGTAGAGCGTTCCCCGCGGTCTACTGGTGTTTCGATATGCGATCTTTTTCGATAGGTGTGCGATCTTTTACCTCGTGCAGTAGCCGCGTACCACTGTGTATAGAGGAGGCCTTTGGCCTTTTCCCAGCAGTGGGACATTTATGCTGTTACTAAATTTCTAAAATGTGTTATTTTGCCTATATACCGTATGATTTACAGTTTTGTAAACCTCATATCCTGCACTGAAGAGAGGTGCTATATTAATATAAACGATTAAGTTTAGAATTACGGGGTGAAGCCATGGGTCTACGCTAGTATTATTATACAATATTCTACATATGTATACAGAATATTGTTCCGTAATTCTTCTCAAACTTGTTTATCTTTATATAGAGTTTCATAACGTAACCTTGCGTTCTTATTGCATAGGCTTACATTTACTAGTGTGCGTAATGCACGCACGTTTTGATTACGTATATGCCTGAACCAAGTTACAGAGAATTCGTGGTTATAACATAAAAGAATAATTATAATATAAATTATAATTAACAATTTAGACATAATGCACAGCTGTATAGCTGGACATTATGTCTAAATTGTTAAATTAGTGACAGTTTTACTACAAATTATCACTTTATATCATATTTTAGATCCACACTCTAAAAGTACCACTGGGTTTTAAATATTGCAATTTTTATGTAACAAGTTGCCAAGCGAGCAGGCGGTTCACCTGATGTTAAGTGAATACATACAACATTTTGAAAATTGCTCTATGCTACTGATATTCTGGTCGTAGTCTCATTGACATGGCACACAGTTGTCTTGACTATACTATATAGGTAATATAATCTTATAATGTATAATCCTAAGCTTTGCTATTGTAACTTTCAATCTTATGACAATTTTTATGGTTAACATAAACATCTTAAGCCATGCCCTTGTGAATAGAACACTTCTAACATTCGATAGTGTCATGAACGGTTGCATAGATATGACATTATTTCTATATTATCGGTCAAGCGTTTTCGACTCGAACGCGTTGGCTCATTTACCTTGCGCTCGTACTATCTAATGGTGCGACTTCACTTGGGTGTTCGCATTCCTCATTTTTTAATTCGCTATCTGGCCAGTCTATGAATTTCACCAGATGATAAGCAGTGATCTAGTCTTGCATTTCGCCATTGCACCAGCTCAGCAAAGCGTATTCGTTCGTTCCTGGAAGAAGGTCGTTGTAATTAGCATAATCTTTTTTTAATACTGTCCTTACTGTATGATAACCTTATCCTGTGTTGTAAGGACGTTTTACATACATAAATTTTACACACAAACACCCAGATCAGTAAAAATTATCTGTAGATCACAACAAAAAGCTGTCCCGGGGTGGGAATCGAACCCGCGAACCACGCCGAAGCCAATACCAATAACTATGTCATAGCAACGGAGTCATCAATGACTGACTTTTCGTATTTATAGTTTGCCCGTTAAGTGCAGAAAGCTGAAAGCGTCACAAAAATATAAAATAAAACATTCAATGTTTACATACAAACTGTGAACCTAACAGTGTAATAGTCTGTTGATAAATAGTTTCACAGAAAGAATATTGTTTCCAAGGAATTTTATTGACATTGACAAAATGAGTATGAGAAAAAAAAAATAAAACATCACAAACCAACTCTAAAGTTTCTGGCGACTACTGGTATTAAAAAGTATGCGAAAAGGAAATAGGCCACGTGAGGTGTCACCCTAACGCGATGTGCGCATCGCTCAAATAAACAACAAGGCATTACGGTCCGCGAACGCCAGGCCCAGTTCTCAGTTCGGCCGCCGCGGAGCTGCTTCCGCGTAGTACGCGCAGTTTTGTTGAATTTTGCTCTAGTTCGTGTTTTCAAGTGTGAATTCTGTAGTTAACGAAGCTGTGGTGCATTAAAATTACGTTGCACATGTTAGTCATTATTACATTGGTTTTTGTTAAACGTGATTCGAGGTTAGGTGCCATGTTTGCATGCAATTACTGATTTGGGATAGGGCTGTGCGTAAGTCTAAACGTTATCTTTTGCTTTAATTTCCATTTCGTTTCTTCCATCATCGTTTATGGGAGAGGAAATGGCCTCTTATTGCTGGACTCAAATATTATTTACAAAATTTGTTTCAAAGACCTCGTTAATAAGTTATGTCATAAAAACGTACGTGCTTTGGCTTAATGCACTTTGGATCTTTCTATTAAGACACAAAATGGCGTAAACGTTTTTTTTTTGTTACTTTAAGTGTCTTTTGCCAATGAAAATTAACCCGTAAGTGCATGTGTATGAGTTTAATGACCTTTTCAAAATAACATTACCATGACAATGATGTCAATTCGTAGTTTGCGGTAGAATATTCAATTAATCCAGTACGTAAGTATGTCACCAGGTTTTAAAGGATATTGCTGTTGTTGTGCTTACGATGAGCATTTGAGAGGATCCCTTCATTTGGAAATGAAGGGATTTTCGTCTCCGATCGGATATGCGGACTATGAGAACGATGGCAATCGACTTGGCAATTTGTTGGGTTGGATCGGGATTCGGGGATAAGGGCGATTCCTTCTTTGATACCACCGTGCCTGTGCACGACTGTGCAATACTAATTAGTTGATTTTACACTATATGAACTTTCTTCAGATATCCTTGGGGGCAATTCTAGCCAGCATCGTATATCAAATACATGAACTTATAACTTATAACTTTTGGCCCGAAGAGTTCGGAAATTACGAAGTTGGACCGTAACGAACGCGGCTATATTGTCTATGTCATACATATGTCAGCGTAGAACGACACCTTTAGATATTTGACCTTCCTCTCCCTAGGAGTCGGTTCGAGAAAATCAGTTATTTTCCTTTTTCTGGCTAAATCTGGTTATGAATTGTAACTGTCGGTGGTAACTTACTTACGAACGTATTAATTTTTATGTAAAATGTTGACGTTTCATAAAAACGCGCAAGCGTCTATGTTTTTTTTTTTGTCAAAAAAACATTGCCCTTACTTTAATCGGCTAACTTTATCCTGTGTTGTAAGGACGTTTTTACAAACATAAATTTCACGCGGGCAAACACCCAGTTGCGAAACAACTATCTGTGGGTCACACAAATAGTTGTCCCGTGTGGGAATCGAACCCACGACCCCCGAAGCCGAAGCCAATACCTTGGCCACTGCGCCACGGAGTCAGCGATGTGAATAAATATATTTTTGATTTTGATTTGATTTGCCTGTATTGATTTCAATCGTCAATTCTCCAGAAACCGATTGCCAAGGGCAGTGAAATTACGTCCTTGTAAAACTATCGCGTCCCAACGTCTCTGTCATGCCTTCCTTCGAGGAATGTATGCTTAAAAGAAATAGGGAGTGATAGGAACCTTGAGAGACACCCTCAAGGATCTTCAGGATCCCTTAAAGGGACGATGGTTTCTAAAGATCGGGCGGATCGTAGAGTATCTACTAATCGAAAGCAACAAATTAATCGTTAACTATTCATGTGAAGGGGAGCTAGCCACATAAATATAATTTTTGGGAAATCTTTCAGACGAATCCACACTTAACCTAAAATATAACTTGTATTGGAAAGGAAATTTGTCATCAATTTATTTATTACAGCAACGTGTCAATGGGTATATACAGTTAAAAATAATTCTTAAGGTAAAAGGAAAATTAAACCTACTTAAAACAGCCACTTACTTAGAATTTAATGAATTGAACGAAATATGATGCATTGCTTTTGCGTAGTTTAATACGGTGTCGTTGAGCAGGTGCGAAAGAACATTAATTGGTAAGGGCCTAGTAAAAACAAACGACTTTAAGATGAAAAAAAAAAAAAGATAATTAATTGAATAAACTTATATTTCCCTGGAAATAATGGTTACCACAATATAATTTAAATAACTGATATGTTTATTCTGCCAATAATAACTTGCATCACGTTTAAGTAATGTCATTAAGTGACTTGCAAGGATTTTCCATAAGTCCAAAACCATTGTTTTTTATTTTAATTGATGTTTACTTAAATTTTAAAACAGAAGTAAAAGGAAAGTTTTAGGTTCTTTCCGTGCTATTTGTTGTAACTAGTTATTTTGTTACCTTGTTATTTTTTTCTTAAAATAACATTGCCCTCACTTTAGGACAACATTATCCTGTGTTTTAAGGACGTTTTACAAACATAAATTGCACGAGGACAAACACCCAGAGCCACTATCTTTGGATCGCATAAACAGTTGCCTCGCGTGGGAATCGAACCCACGACCCCCGAAGTCGAAGCCAATACCTTGGCAACTGCGCCACGGAGTCATCAAGTACTCTAAACTAGTGTCTTTTAATGTTTTCTGGGTGTGATATAATGTGCGTGATCTTGTGTTCTTTATATTATTCCATATTTCCATATTGGAAATAAAATTAAATTCAATATGTTGAAATAGAAATTACGTAGAATAGATGGTTTTGAACGATATAGGAATTCTTTCCTACATGCTTGGAATACCGTTACATTTTCGATATGCCAAAAAACATCTTCATGTTGCCTGTTAAAATTTTCTAATATAACGTTCATTTTTCTAATCAATTTAAGAATTTAATCAAAAGATGGACTTTGCCATAATACCGTGTGTACAGATATGGCTTGTGCCATGAATATAGTTTACATTATTTTACACATCTTCAGTATATTGTCGTTAGTGGTCATTTTCAATTTTAGACATTTTAAAAATGTTTCAACTGTCAATACATCTTGAAATAAAAGCCAATTAATAAAGACAATTCGAAACATTACCACAGCGATGATTTATTTTCGGTTCAAATCCACCCTTTTACGAATAATGTTCACCAGAATTTGGATTGCTCGAAACACATCCACATTATCTTCATTATTCTATTCTGTTTAAACGTTCATGAATAGTTTGCCACATTAAAAATTATGCGATCGGTTTAACACTGGCCACTTATTTATTGACGGTAGCTAAATTAGTGTGGTTTTAAATTAGTAATAAAGTGATATTTTTTAATTAATCATAATATAGTCATTATGATTAATTAAAAAATATCACTTTAAATACTTGATCATGATAATGTTACAGCGAATGTTCAGTCAAAGGGCTGAATGAGTTAAATACTGGAATCGGCATTACTTGCCACTCGATATGTAATAGCTTAGGTATATGTAGAACTCAGAAATGTTGCTCTCGCATCAACAGTGGAAGAGCAGTACATCTATGAAAGCATATCACTCTTATCATGATATACCTTTTTATTAGTTAAAAAAAAGACTTCTAATGAACAATTTAAAGCATCTACCTTGCCGACGTAAACTTTTTCTCATCATTTTTATTGTCATGTACACCATACTTAGAAAGATAGAGAAGATAGATTTCTTTTTCACCTATCCACGAGTTTACTTGTAATCTCAATTAATTTTACCCTCTTTAATTAATATTTCTTTATTCAATTAAAGTTTATTCAAGCGTCAAAAACCGCTAAATCAGACCTGAGCAGAGAAGAACTGGTAAAGAACGCCCTTGTGTTAAATTATAAACTTATATTTTTACTAAATATATATTCAAGACAAACAATTGGTTAACAATTAATGACAGCGCGTATGAAGATAGTGAACTATCCAATATTCGAAAGCTAAGTGCTGGCTCCGCTTGTGCATTGCAGTTATAAAGCCTTAGGTATCCCCACTACAGGAACCTCAGCAATATGAAACTGCCTTCATTGTTGTCAGTTTCTTTGCTGTCGTCCACAGATGGCACCTCAAATTAAATGTTGCCAACACTTGTTTGTAGTATCTACTAATGCTTTTAAAAAACAATCGTGGCAAAAAATCACCAGTGGACAGGAAACGTGCACCGTTCTATCACGGACCCCAATTCACTTTGTAATATGGCCGTTCAATCAGAGTTATTATTATAAGTTTCATAATCACGGCATATTTTCTTTTAGAACGAACAATGGGCAAAGTGGCTACGTCGGACGCTCTGCGTTTCATGGTCGATTGCTTGAAGGCGGTCGGGGCTGCGAGCAAAGCGGCGCAACAGCAGGCAGAGCTCCTGATTCAGGCGGATCGGATCGGACATCCCAGCCATGGGCTCAATAGGCTAGGTATGTTAAATTTAAAAAAAAGTAAGTGTGGAATTATGTGCGCACGTAATTAGTTGTACTTCTTTAGCGTAACAAATGAGAAATAACTAAAAATGTTATCCCCCGTGTCATTATCTTTGTTTGTGAAAAAGACAACACAACGACAATTAATAACGGTTTAAATAAGTACCTTGAATTTTAAGTAAATTTCAAAAAGTCGTTATTGGTTGCCATGGTAATGACGTGAAGTTAACGAAGTTGGTTAATTTGTATATGTCGCTGGAATATGAATCTTAATCAGTCAAGTCGTTCAGAAGTTGCGCTTTCATTAATACTGATATCTATGTTTATGTCAGTGAACGCAAATAAAACAAAAATGTTTACGTCTTTAAAGAAGTTTTGATTGGTACGTTCTATGAAAAATCAGTACAGCACAATCTACTACCTTCAGAATTGTACGTGAATGACATCCAAAGTGGAGCGTGTGCTCCGAACAATGAGCCTAAAGTACTAAAAGAGAGTCCGTCTACTGCGTGGGTGGATGCCAATAATGTACTCGGGGCGACGGCTAGCCACTTCGCAATGGACATTGCTATCAAAAAGGCCGAAGACACCGGAGTGGGATGGGTAAGCGTGAAGGGTAAGATCCAATATAAGTTCATCTAGTATGAGAATTTTTAAGTATAAAAGTTTTTTATTATTTAAGCGTAGTGTACACATTATTTCATTTTACAACATTTTCTATTATGAGAGTATCTTGAGTGCAGATTATCAGTACTGAAATTTAATCACAAAATTTTTCTAGTACTGTATAGTATTTTAGTATACACATTATTGAATGTTAATATTTCAATGGATTTTATCACGTTTATCTTAAATTACAAATCCTGATATTTCGATTGCTTTGCAGTATTTATGAACAGTGCAACTGGCGATTTATTGATAAAAATTAATGAAATTTATCCTTTCATGAAGGTACATACTTACCAATAAATAAATAACATCTATGTTCATCACGCACTTTGCATTTTTAACAACGCACAAGAAGTAATAACACATTAGATTCTGATATACAAATACACAAATCTTCTAAGCAAGCGTAAGCTTACTTTACGATAATAAACTAAAAGGTTGGGTTAACAACGTAGCATACTTTGGATCTTCCAGGTTCAAACCATTTCGGCGTGGCGGGTTGGTGGGCTCAAAAAGCAGCTGATAGAGGTCTCATTGGAATGGCATTTACAAATACATCACCGCTTTTAGCACCGACAAGGAGTAAACAGGTTACCAATCTTAATATTTTTTATACATGCATTGAAAAAAGAAAATTTTAATGAGTTCTTTCTAAAAAATTGATCTAAAGATAAAATATTTATTGGCCACCTCTGTCTACCAGTCTACTTGTCAAGGTATTTTCTTCGGCGTCGGGGGCCGTGGGTTCGAATCCCACACGGGACAAGTATTTGTGTGACCCACAGATAGTTGTTTCGCATGAACTTTTCGTGTTTGTCCGCGTTAAATTTATGTTTGCAAAAACGTCCTTACAACACAGGATAATGTTATCCTAAAGTAAGCACAATGTTTTTTATTAAAAAAAAAAAAATTATTTAATTAAATAAATTGATCGGCTACCGTTATTTCATACAGTTCACTGACTGATTGCTCCACGCAGCAGCTTTCTTGCAACCTGCTAAAAACTACAGCCTCCTCCTTTTTTGAAGCCGGTTGAATATTGGTCTAAAAATAACGCTGTGTTATGATGTTATAAATTAGATATATTTATTTATTTATTTATTTTAAGACTTCATGCACATATCTCTGTACATAGGCGCACTTAATGCTGACAGCAGATATAGGTTAAGCATTCACGTTAAATCTCTGAAATCTATTTCCAGTCGGCGCTCGGTACCAATCCCATAGCGGTCGTCGCCCCGGGTAGCGATGGAGAAACATTCTATTTGGATATGGCCACCACAGCTGTGGCCGTTGGGAAGGTCAGTCTACGCAGATGGGGATCATCGTCAAATAATGTGTGATAAATGGTAATGTAATTTGTAAGGTTCGAAACCTGCCAACGAAGAATTTTTCGACAATCTATCTACACATTTTTACCCAACTGCGCCGGAAAGAGGGTTATGTTTTTCGAGAGTATGTGTGTATGTATGTATGTATGTATGTATGTATGTATGTATAATTTGTTAAAATGAACTATCATTTGATCCAGCATTAAATTGTTTGGCACGCTGCAGAGCGTGGATGGCTTGATGGATTTTAGCTTGAGACATGTCGTTAGATTCGTATTTATTGTGAGAGTGACACTGGGTATATCATAATCATTTCATCAATCTTACACGGTTTATTAGTTTTTTTTAATTATATAGCTTTTACGGTGGTAGGGCCACGCAGCAGACTCGGCTGTTGCACGAATGGGCAGACCCGTCCGGGTAAGTACCACGACCTCACAGAAGACCAGCGTAAAGTGGAAATATGACAAATACTTTCGCGTTTCGTCTGGTGAGTGAGGTAGCCGGAGCCCAATTTTCAAAAGGTTGTCAGCGCATCTGCATACCCTCGGGTGTGGCAATTGTCCATGGGCGGCGGTATTCACTTAACATCAGGTGACCCGTCTGCTCGTTTGGCAACTTATCGCATAAAAAAAAGCTACTCGTAAGTATCATATTAAGTGCAGAGATGAGCACTAAAACAGATTTTAATTATAACAGTTTTATAAAAACGCTTGAACTCGAGGAATAAATATTTGATCTGAGTTAATTACATGTAAAAAAAACTCGAAGCCAATGAACGATTGTGAATACAAACTACTAGTATCTTTTGCTCCCCAGATAGAAATGCAACTGCGCAAAAACGAGCCAATACCCCATGGCTGGGCCCAGGGCCCCGACGGCAAGGAAACCACGGACGCTGAATTGGTGAGTGCGAGCTCAATGAACCGAACTGAATTGAAATGCAAACTGTAAGGTACCAGGAAATTATATTACTTAATTGGCTTTCGTAAATGACACGAACAGTGAAACACACAGGGTCACACAGGGCAACAACAAGGGCACACGAGGCCCGTGCCCAGGGTATGGCCTACATATTCGCTTAAACTATATTTTCCCTATTTTTGGTAGCTATATTCGGATAGAAGTATATTGATTAAATAAAAAATATAAGATAATAGCAGAAGAATGTTTTAGTCATTCGCTTTTCAATCTGTGTGCCCTAGGGCCCCGATATGGCCTAAGACGGCATTGGTTGCGGCCATCGAATGTTTCACAAAGACACTAAATGTTGGTCACTAGGCAAGTCAAATAAAGTCCTATAAATGTCCCACTGCTGGGCAAAGGCCTCCTCTATTAAGAGGGTATTGTGACAAAGTCTACCACGGACACGCGAGTACACTGCGGACATTCGTTAATAATGTCTTATGAAATTTTATGGCTTTTAGGCTGTTTATGATAAAAAATTTATTTCCAGGCGTTCAAAACACAGTGCCTGATGCCGCTAGGAGGCGGCGAGAGCACGTCGGGCTACAAAGGATTCGGGCTGTCTGCTCTGGTTGAGTTGTTCTGTGGCATTACTTCAGGTGCGCTCTGTTTTCGAAAACATGCTCTATCTAATTAAATATAAAATTAAAGTATACGCGCGCGTCAAAGTCACGTCTATGAGGAGACGAAAGCTATGAAATTTAAAATTCGAACAGATGTAAAAACACTCCTGTGAGGCCGTGGTACTGCCGGACTAGTCAGCGGAAGCTGCTGCCCCAATTCAGTCAATTGTATTAACGTACGAACGAATGTAGCGAGCAGATCTGTTTATATAAAAAAAAAGTAAAGTAACAGCCTATACATGCTGGGCAAAGGCCTCCTCTATACAGAGGGTATCATAGTCCACCACGCGGCCCCACTTGCGGATTGGCGGACTTCACATATTTTCGAAATATATTTTTTTGTTTATATAGGTATAATATACTCATCTAATATTTACAAGATTAAATCTATCTAAAATTACATATTATCTAATAAACCTAATCCACGCGGCATGGTGCCAAGAACGCTAGCTGCATTTCCTCGCTGAATAGTTATGCTCAACCTTTGCGCGAGAAAAGAACCAGCTCTCTTGTCACCAGCCGCGGCGTTAAGGACGCGTTTACGAATTCACGCGCTTCAATTTTAGGTACAGAGGCGTACTACTACACGTGCACGGCTCACGCACACAGCGACAAGCGCGAAGCAGCGAAACTTTATGTAACTGACGCAACTTGATACTTTTATTTAATTTGAAGTCATTTATTTTTTAAGCTTACGTTAAATTTGTTTTCAACAAGTTTTTAAACTGAATATTTTTTTATATAATTATTTAGGTATAATTTATTAAATTTCATTTAAAAGCTCGTAGCTGTTGATAATTTGCGTTTTAATTAATTATGTATATAATTTAATTTTATGTTTTAATTAATTTTTATGAAGGAAACGAAGCTTGTTTTATACATGTTTGATTATGCGTGCGGTAGTAGATAGCTTGATAGGTAGGTTACGTAGGAAGGTAGCTATGTAGGCAGATAATTAGGTAAAACCCGCTAACGAATTGAGTAAAATACTTTGTATCGTATTCTGAATGCATTTTGCTGATTCAATAATATTCATGCTAAATGTTAAAAAAAAAAAATTTCTGTGAATGAATTGGAAATAGCATGGCGTACGAAGCCGGGCTAGTATCTAGAAACTAAAAATGAAATAATAAAACGAAGGAAACAAACTAGTAAAAATTAAAAAACATTTTTATAAAAAAAAACCTGTCGCACTCGGCTCAGCTGGGGTAAAGCTATAGCATAGCATCTTTTAACTTATGCGATTATAATTATTTAATTATGCAGTATTTTTTTCTTTGATATTTATATTTATGTTAATAAATAATATTTTAATAATATAATAATTAATAATATATAATTAATTTATATTATTTACAAAAATGATAAGAACTACTAAGTCAGTCACTAAGCTCTGGATAGTTAAATTACAATATACTAACATTTTTAAACTTGTGATCTCTTTCGAATGGAATGTCCGAATTTAATCATTCAAAAAGTTATATAAAGATATTGAAACAGTCTTAAATATAAAGTAATTTATTTTTATAAGGATTAATACCAAGATACAAATAAAGAGCCTTTTCTAGCGGCTGCATTTCAATCAAAATTTTAAAGTAAAAGAATACTTATTGTGGCATAACTATAATAGTTAGACATATACTGTCGAAACACTTTTTATAAATAATGATGTGTTCTGCAAATTCGTAGTACATTATTATTTATACAATTATCAATAGTTTTAGCAGCGCACGCGATGCAAACAATATTTTAGGTAATTTTTGTACTTTGGGTTACATTATTCAAGTTTTAGTAAGGATTCCTAGTTTTTGAAAATTTAATATATCCTATGTCATCCGGGGATAATGTAGCTTCCAGACAGTGAAAGAAATCTTCAAATCTGTTCAGGGGTTTAGGAGCCTATTCAATGCATAAAAACAATCAAATCTTTCCTCTTGCGTGGTAGGCGGAGTTAGGTTTTATTTTCGTTACGGAATTTATTGATTCGTTCGCCGCGCTCAAAGCCCGCGATAAAAGCTGTGCAATAGCTTAAAAAAATATTGTTTCATTTTTTAATTTGACTCTTCCATGCTCTTCGCCAGAACTGTCGCTATGTCGATCCTGGGTGGAGCAAGCCCGCGAGGCCAATTTATACCTCCGACACGAGGTTCTGGCTCCGCCTTTTGATGTTCACTCTATCGATAGGGAAGACCACACGGAGTCGGGGTGCTCTGTGTCGGATCTTTGTGATTTTTCTTTATAGTTCTCTATCATTTAATTATTTTTGTTATCTATATCGAAGTAGTAGCCTGCTAAAATTTAATCGTTTTAGGCTTTGGAATCTGAAACAACAATTGAGTTATAAGAGGTATAAATGTTGTATGTAATAACTGTGCCATAAAAATAAGTCTTTGATAATTTAAGTTGAGACCCACTACATTTTTACATAACTATTTTTTTTTTCGTGTTTTGCCTATTTTAAAGACGTTGTTACTATAGATACCATTTGTTCCAAAAGATTGCAAGTCATTAAAAAAATTAAGTATTATTTTAGGCAGAATCCATGATCATAAAAGTTGATCAGTGCGAAACACGACAAAACAATAAACGATAAATGGGGTCATAAACGTGAAACAAAAAGTTTGCCACATAGCTGTCGTTCGAAACTTTTGAAGTACATGTTTATTACACCTATTCATTGGAATATACAAAAAAATTACCTTTTAGACATGCCTAATCTTACAATTTGCAAGTGTGCAAATTTGTTTTGTATTACTTGTATTTTTAATTATCCATACAACTTTTCTACATGTGGTGTACTTTTGGCCAACATTTGGCTGCATGGAAATAAGAATTTCTAATAAAATACCAGATAGGTTCATAGGCCTCCCGGAGTATTTAAATTTAAACGAAAATTCTAAAATCTGCACACTGTCAAATTAGACATTTAAAATATTTAATCATGTCTAAGTAATGTAGAATGTTTATATTAAAAATTCATTACTTTGACTTGTGATTGACTTTGACTTATATTTATACTCTATTGACTCATAATTATAATCTAAATTTCAATTTTTTTTATATTAACATGTTTCACAAATATTTATACACAGAATTGATGTAGAATACATAGTTCCATATGTTAAATAACTTTTTTACTGTATTCTTACACCTTCATGCCAATACATCAATGTCAAAGGTAAGGTCTCAAAAAAACTCACAAAACAAGCCCAAACTCGACACACATAGCTCATCTCGTCTGTTAGTTCCAGTAGCAGTTCTCAAAGTACACCTTCAGGTCACTCCATCTAGTCAGAAGGCAAGGTCTCACCATACCTAGCAAAACAAGCCCAAACTCGACACACATAGCTCATCTCGTCTGTTAGTTCCAGTAGCACTACTCAAAGTACACCTTCAGGTCACTCCATCTAGTCAGAAGGCAAGATCTCACCATACCTAACAAAACAAGCCCAAACTCGACACACATAGCTTATCTCGTCTGTTAGTTCCAGTAGCAGTTCTCAAAGTACACCTTCAGGTCACTCCATCTAATCAGAAGGCAAGGTCTCACCATACCTAACAAAACAAGCCCAAACTCGACACACATAGCTCATCTCGTCTGTTAGTTCCAGTAGCACTACTCAAAGTACACCTTCAGGTCACTCCATCTAATCAGAAGGCAAGGTCTCACCATACCTAACAAAACAAGCCCAAACTCGACACACATAGCTTATCTCGTCTGTTAGTTCCAGTAGCAGTTCTCAAAGTACACCTTCAGGTCACTCCATCTAGTCAGAAGGCAAGGTCTCACCATACCTAACAAAACAAGCCCAAACTCGACACACATAGCTCATCTCGTCTGTTAGTTCCAGTAGCAGTTCTCAAAGTACACCTTCAGGTCACTCCATCTAGTCAGAAGGCAAGGTCTCACCATACCTAACAAAACAAGCCCAAACTCGACACACATAGCTCATCTCGTCTGTTAGTTCCAATAGCAGTACTCAAAGTACACCTTCAGGTCACTCCATCTAGTCAGAAGGCAAGATCTCACCATACCTAACAAAACAAGCCCAAACTCGACACACATAGCTTATCTCGTCTGTTAGTTCCAGTAGCAGTTCTCAAAGTACACCTTCAGGTCACTCCATCTAGTCAGAAGGCAAGGTCTCACCATAACTAACAAAACAAGCCCAAACTCGACACACATAGCTCATCTCGTCTGTTAGTTCCAGTAGCACTTACTCAAAGTGCACCTTCAGGTCACTCCATCTAGTCAGAAGGCAAGATCTCACCATACCTAACAAAACAAGCCCAAACTCGACACACATAGCTTATCTCGTCTGTTAGTTCCAGTAGCAGTTCTCAAAGTACACCTTCAGGTCACTCCATCTAGTCAGAAGGCAAGGTCTCACCATACCTAACAAAACAAGCCCAAACTCGACACACATAGCTCATCTCGTCTGTTAGTTCCAGTAGCAGTTCTCAAAGTACACCTTCAGGTCACTCCATCTAGTCAGAAGGCAAGATCTCACCATACCTAACAAAACAAGCCCAAACTCGACACACATAGCTCATCTCGTCTGTTAGTTCCAGTAGCAGTTCTCAAAGTACACCTTCAGGTCACTCCATCTAGTCAGAAGGCAAGTTCTCACCATACCTAACAAAACAAGCCCAAACTCGACACACATAACTCATCTCGTCTGTTAGTTCCAGTAGCAGTTCTCGAAGTACACCTTCAGGTCACTCCAACAAATCAGAAGGCAAGGTCTCACCATACCTAACAAAACAAGCCCAAACTCGACACACATAGCTCATCTCGTCTGTTAGTTCCAGTAGCAGTTCTCGAAGTACACCTTCAGGTCACTCCATCAAGTCCGTAACGAAATATGAATTTTTAACCCCTACTAATTTCTAGTAAAAATATGACAAAGTGTGAATTATAGTTTACTTTTGTCGTTCGTAGTCCGAAGTCCGAACATGATGTGTAAAGTATCAACTTTGTTACGACAAATATTTTGTATTCGTACAGCGATCTTTTTCCTCACGAGCTGCTGTTTATAAGCGACATAGCGACCACTCATGACGGCAGCCGAGTGCCGACTAATATTTCTTTAAATATTTTTGTGGAATAAATCAAAACAGTGACCAGTAAAATAACCTTTATGTCAATCACTTAAGATTCACGCGTAAGATATAAATGTGAAAGAAATAGATTTTAATCTTTATTTTTTTTCTGAAACTAATTTCAACAATTTTGATACGTAATGTAGCTACCTTTTTGAGTTGAACATGTGTGCTTACATAAAATATTTTTAAATAAAAAAAAAATGTTATTAAATAAGAGAAAAATGTTCCTAAACCCAACAGGATTTCGTCCATTTTGAGTGAAGTGGTCACGAAAATTCTCATTTACAATATTATAAACCAAAATTTTCGATTAAAAAAACTATCTACCATTTGAAGATGAAGGAGGGATCTATATGTGATAATTATTACTTCCATTATATTCGTTTCGTTTTGCCGCAAAATGTACCTGAAAATCCCCTATTTTTGCAGATTCCGCGAGATTTCGCAAACACGCCCTTAAGCCTAGGACATAAACTTTTAAAAAAAATTGATGTGCGGGGACCCCACGGACCTAATGTTTCAACAGCAAATGGCACAAATACATAATATATTTTTTTTGTTATTATTTCGAAAATATGCAGGTTTCCTCACGATGTTTTCCTTCACCGCGGAGCACGTGATAAGTCAGCACTTAAAGTTAAAAAGTTCATTGGTGCCGGCACCGGGGATCAAACTCAGGTTGCTCGAGTATATTGAATTAAAGGCGAGCCGCCCGGACACTGAGCTATCACGGCTCTTCATAAAAAAATATTTATTTTTACAGTTCATTTTAATCGTTATTTTTTACGCAGTAGACTGGTTGACAGGTAAGCGCGTTGTAGCCCAACCGCAGTGAAATTAAAGAATTCGACGCTCTCCGATAGGGTCGTTCTACGGGCACAACATACGGTCGTGGTCGCACAGCGGCGAGGGGGGCCCCGCCAACCTGGGGCACTGCTTCGTGGCCCTGGACCCGGGCCGCTTCGCGCCCGGCTTCGGGGACCGCTTGACTGACTGCATGCGCCATTGGAGGCAACTGGAGCCCGTGAGGATCGATATTTAAGAGCCTTAAGTTGTTTGTCATTTTAGCGTTACTACCTGTAACTTGCTCTCAACCACCAAAGGTTAACAGGAATAAAATGCTATTTAGCATTAAGTTCGCCTTTGTACAAACTTTTAGTACAATAAAGAATATTACAATACAATAAAGAAAGTAAATTAAACACCTATACAGCGTGTCGTTACCATCGCGACAATAAATGAATACACATATAGGGGATAATTTTTTAAAGTTGTATTAAACATTTACATTCTTTAAACATCAATATTTACAGAGTTATTAAATTTTCCAAAACAAAGAATTTTAGAACACCCTTTACCTATAAAAGCGTAACGTATGCTTTGTAACCTTTACAAATGAACTTTACGTTACGCTTTTATACGTAAGGATGTTCTAAAATTCTTTGTTTTGGAAAATTTAATAACTCTGTAAATATTGATGTTTAAAGAATTTAAATGTTTAATACAACTTTAAAAAGTTGTCCCCTATATGTGGGTTCATTTATTGTCGCTACGGTAACGACACACTGTATACGTTCATAATACTAGTAAGGATGATGATTCAGTGAGTGATCACGGTGCGAAAACTTCGAAGGGCCAACTAGTTATTTAACATTACTGCATGTTTTTCACCTTCAGACGGACCCCAACCTGCCGGTTCTGGCGCCGGGGGATAAGGAAAAGAGGAACGCCCAAGTAGCCGACTGCGAGGGGACTGTGACCTATCTGAGCCAACAGCTGCAGAGCAGCGCAGCACTCGCGAAGAAACTCCAAGTGAAACCGATGACGGTTTTAACCGAACTCTAATCACGACCCTGCTATAACACTCGGGACCAATTTGAACATTAAGTAGAATAATATGAATGTAGTAGCGGACCCTACAGACTTTGTACACAGGTCTTATCCGACAACTTATTAATAGAAAAAAAAATAGAAAAACATTTTTAGTGAACCGATTTTTGAATCTAAATCGTTCTCGAATCCACTTGAACACACACAAAAGGAGGAGTTCAGTCACATAAAGTTCACGCACAGAAGAATTATATAAATAAATATACACAATAAAGATACATTTCAGGTTACCAATCTTCTGAGCTGTGTCAGTTACCGTGGTTCTGATGAAGATAGCACTGATCTTTTCGACGCAGAGAAATACCGGATACTTATAGCTCGCTGAGTCGCACGAAGGCGGAAGGCCTTCGTCCAGCTGTGGACACATTCAAATAAAACAGGCAACTGATATTATAATTTAAAATTACTATTTAAAATTCTTTTCGCAATGGTTGTATGGAAGAAATCGCTTTCTGAGCGATAAGACCACCTATTGTACTTCCTTTTACATTCATTTGTAATTTGCTTTGTATATATGTATTTTTGGTGTACAATAAAGTATAAATAAATAAATAATTTTTATTGTACGTCGTTTAAGCCAATTGTAGCGATTCGGAATAATGAGTCAAAGATTTTCCAGTTTATTTTTATTTGCTCCATAGTTACTCCTTCGCCACCGGCCTTAGGATGCTATCACTGACATAACCTCTACATATTTTAAACCCCCTTCTTTTGTAAAGTCGGTTGATAAAAAAGCCGGCCAAGTGGGAGTCGGACTCGCACACGAAGGGTTCCGTACCATTATCTATAAAACGGAAAAAAACATGTGAACCCCACTTAAATATGTCACGATTCATGAGATGCAGCCTGGTGACAGACAGAGAGACAGCTTAGTCTTAGTAATAGAGTGCCGTTTACCTTGAATTGTTGTACGGAACCCTCAAAAAACCCGATTGATTGAACCCCGCAGGATTGAACCGAAGAATGCATTTCTTTAGTTTTATAAAAAAAATGAAATTATTATTGTTGATATCGTATTTTTTAACAAGAAAGTTGTTATTTTCAATTTGATAAACTTAATAGAAAAATACTTTCTACGAGAAAATACAAAACTGTAGATTTCAATTTCTTTGTTAAGCTTTGTCTTTTCATTATACTGTATCCATTGTCGCGTAACCTGATTTTTTTACAATAAGTTTGAATTACTTTTAAAAAGAAATATTTTCTAAGCGTGTTTTTGCCTTTTATTCACATAACTTGGAAATTTATTTCTTACGATACATCGGAATGTTTCAGATTCTAAGCATGTGGATAAGGCATGCAGTTAAATATGTTTAAATTGGAATAACTCACTAATAGTTGCCCGTACTGGCGTTAACGAGGTGTAAAAAGTTAACTGTTTAATACCAGGCTGGAGTAAAAATATTGCGGCTTGACATACACATACTTATTGTGTTATATTATAGCACAGGTAACATTTACAATAACATTCTTTCTAATCATAACGAGCTAAAGTTGACCAAGCGCGTAGATTTTGTGTCATCAAGGACTTATACGAAATGTAAAAAAATTAAGGGAAAATCCGTCATAGCTATATCAATGTGAAAAGAAAATTCTGTGAATTTAAACTAGAAAGCGTCCAAGAGTGCCCTAGAAGCCTAGAACCGATCTACGACATCTACGACTGTATAAAATATCGGTACAATATCATATCAAAAATCGGCGTATGATCTCATATCAGCGGACCAGAGGTTTTGACTATCCAAGAGAATGCTTACACTATAGATATCTCCCCCAGAATATGTGTCCCCAGATTGCTCTTAGTCGAAAAAAAAAAACGAAATTGTCACACAATTTTGAAGTCTTTTTAAAAGATTTTTGACGTGGATGAAACGTGGGCTCATCATTATATTTCAGAATCAAAATAAACTTCAAAGAAAACGCAAGCAATTTTGTGGGCTATGCAAATTGTGGCAACTGATTTGCCACAAATTAGATATTATTCAAAACGTTTTTATTTCTTATCCTATGATATCTACCTCCGTTTATTTTGGCGCACAAAGAATGATTGGGAATAAGCGGATTCGAATAAAAAATTGAAGTCAATTAATTTCTTTTTTGAAATGCCTGTCTCTGTTTTTTGTCTTTATAGAAAATTTATCGTTTGAAGAAAACAAATGCCTTGCCGCCACCTTATAGAAAGAACACTCAATTTCTTGCCCAATCGATATGCTAGAATATATCAGATTGCGCTTGGTAAAAGCGTAATCTTCGAAACCCTTGTCATGGTTCTCGTTTAGAATAATTGTCGTAACAGACCAAATACCAATTTAATTTCAATAGAAACAGTTATTATAATCGGCTTTGCTGTGTATTTGTTTGCTTTGCTGAGAATAATAATAAATAAAAAGTAAAGATTAAGTAGAAGTAAGTACGTAAATATGTCCATTACACATTTCCCTAAACTTGGACTACAGATTTACAGAACAAGACAAATGAAAATTTATCTTGTAGTCCTCACACTAGATCTAGCCATCCTAAGGAATTTTCTTATAATTTCACATGTCATCGAAAACATCATCAAGGGCCTATCTTTAAATAAGATAGGCCCTTCAAAATCAACCGTTTATCGCTAGCATAATAAACATTAGCAAGTCGACTAACTTAAAGTGATAAAGAAAGGCGTGGCCGCTGTTTTTATGGAATGACTAAGCGCTTCAATATTTGGGCGAGTAATACTAAATGTAATGTTAATGCTTTTGACGCAATGGACAAGCGTTCAAAGAGGATGATTATTGGCCCTTATTTGGTTAGAGCCAAACTTCCCAACCTTAAGTATAGGAGTAGGGAAGGTAGCCTCCCGGTTTTCTACAGGTTGAATTCTGGACAGTATGCATCAGAGTTTTACGAATTAATTCTACCATTTCCATTTTGCGTCGCCTAGACGCTCGGCTCTATTCCATTCTTTTGTTGTTTAGATTATTCGCAATCGAATCACCCACTTTTAGGGTTCCGTAAAGGGTAAAAGGGGTAGGGGTCAGGCCCTATTACAAATTTTCACAGATGATGTAGTACTGTTGTCGCTATAACAACAAATACTAAAAAACAGAGAAAAAATATTTAAGTAGGGCTCCCGTACAACAGACATTTTTTTTTTTGCCATTTTTATAGTACGGAACCCTTCGTGCGCGTGTCCGAATTGCACTTGGCCGGTTTTTTGTCATTCACTACGTGTAATGCGAATGACTGGAAGAGTTTACCGAACGGTAAACGGTACGGTTTTTCCTGACGTTTAACGTCTAAAACTGCATCGTCATTTACCATCGGCTAGTCACAGGCCTGCCGCACTGAAGGCCACGAAGCACGATACTGAGCCACCTGCATCCATCCACTTCCTGCACATTTGCACAGGTCGTCACTTTACCTAAGGGGGACGTCTTACACTGTGCGATGATCAAATCCGCGACTGATACTCGAGGAACTTACTACACCATCGGATATCGATTCAGCTGAACAACATTTTGAGCTATGCTATAAAGTATAACTCGTTAATATCCATAAAATCCGGTGAGCACGTAAAAAGTCAGCATTTAAAATTTATTATTAACATTTTCATTGGTGCTGAACCTCAGATTGGGATTGAGCTCTGGTTGCTCGAGTAAATTTTTACTCTATGCCCTAATGTGATTGTGTGTCTCTATGAACAAATGTGGAAATTACTCTTGCTCTGCACTTTCAAAGAAGTCCTACCGATCCGGAAATACCGCTTCCGAAAATTTTAATTTATGTCGTATTTTTTCCTTTAATCCTGGTGTTGTATGTAGCCTTTACGATTACAGATACGAGAAGATAAATGGTAAGACCGTGTCGGTGGGTTTGGGGGGTTCAAACATTAGTGTTGTCCGTAAATAGTTGTTCCGAGTTTTAGTGTAGGTACTTTGTGTCAATGATTTCCATTTGTTGGAAGCGTCCCACGACATAGGAACAATTTTCCTACATGATTTTTGAGGAATCATTCGTCAGTACGATAAACAAGGATTTTTTCGAATAGAACGATTAATAAAGTTGTAAATAAAATGTTACAATAAATAAAAATATATAATTGTTGGTACTGTGTTGTCTCAAGTCAGACCCGGTGGATCCAACGTCCTCTTCCCCTTCCTCGACTGGGTCGATGAGGACGAAGATTCTAAACAGTGGCGTTTATGCCGGTTTGGTAATTTGGTCCGTGTCGGTTACCTCTTAGCGCTTACTGGGTTGCCCTTTTTTTTTTCTTTTTAATGTCATTGTTGCAATCTATTAATTTACAGATATTCAGCAATATGTATAGGATGAGAAGGGTTTGCACGATAGCCGTCCAGTGACTGCTAGAGGTGATCAAACGGATGCACGGAGATACCCTATGAGAAACAGAAAGCCACGAGAATTCCCTGATCACGTACTATATCAAGCAGTTCTACCTGGAGAGAGTGGTTTTGGTTTGGAGGAACCTATAAATGTCACAGAAGCACTCGCAGGGACAGACAGCTTACTTTGGCGTGAAGCTATTAAGGAAGAATTGGATGCTCTTCACAAGAATCGAACTTGGCAGCTAGTAAAGAGAGAGCCAAATCAAAACGTGATCGATGGCAAGTTGGTTCTTAAAGTTAAGACTGAAGCTGGTAACAAGCAACGATATAAGGCAAGGCTTGTAGCGAGGGACTACAAACAACGCGGAGGTGTTGATTACTTTGAGACATTTTCACCTGTGATTAGACATAGTTCATTGCGTCTTCTGTTGGCAATGGCTGCCGAGAATAAATTGAAAATTGATCAAATGGACGTGAAGGCCGCTTTTCTTAATGCGTACATTGAGGAGACAGTGTACATGAAGCAACCTGTAAGGTTTTGAGGAGAAGGGAAAAGAGGATTACGTGTGCCTACTGAAAAAGTAGGGTTTGAAGCAGGCCCCAAGAGCTTGGAATCAAAGGTTGGACACAGCACTGAAACGGTTGAAGTTCACTCAGCTAGACAACAAACCATGTGCTTATATGAGGAGAATTCAACACAGGCTAATAATTCTAGCGGTGTACGTTGATGATCTATTGATTTTTTGGAACAATAAAGCAGAGATGCAGCAAGTCAAGAAGGAGTTAAGAGATACCTTCGAAATGCGTGATCTTGGTAAAGCGGTTTTGTTTCTGGGAATGCGTCTACAACAAACTGAAGATGACATTACACTAGATCAGGAAGGCTATATAGAGAAAATATTAGCCAGGTTTAACAAGCAGGACTGCAAACCTGTTTCCACACCTCTCATTGCTGGTTATAGGTTGACCAAACCGGTGGAAACAAATTATGAGC